GCCCCATCTGCATGGGTAGGAGAACTGTTTGTAACACCAGCTTGTGGGAAGACCAAACCAGCCGCAGTCAAACATGGTTAATGTGCAGCCCAACTTGGGGCATGGGGATTAGGAAGCTTGGCTGAGGTATCTGGCTGGGGACTGCATAGAATCTGGAATGTGCCACGTTGGAGTGGGGGGCTGTGAAGAGGGGGTTGAAGTTAGCAAGAGAGCCGCCATGATGGGTAGGCCACTGATCTGAGCCAGGAGAGGCTGAGTCTTTGCCAGTTCCTTGGTGGGTGAGGTTAAGAATGATGAATCTGCGTGTGCATTTGTAGGTTTCAGAGTAACAGCCATGTTAGTCTGTATTCGCAAAAAGAAAAGGAGTACTTGTGGCACCTTAGAGACTAACCAATTTATTTGAGCATGAGCTTTCGTGAGCTACAGCTCACTTCATCGGATGAAGTGAGCTCAAATAAATTGGTTAGTCTCTAAGGTGCCACAAGTACTCCTTTTCTTTGTGCATTTGTAGGGAGCCTGGAGCCCAGGAAAGATCTTGAACTGTTGCCTAACTCGGTAGAAAAATGAGAGTGTTTTAATTTCTAGGAAACCCACCCACTCCTGCATAAGGTGAACCCACTGCAGGGTTCCCGAGGAAGAAAGGATGGGGCAACTGAGGCAGAATGCTCCCATCTTCTGTTCTACAGGAGGGCAAGATTCACACCTGGAGCCTCAGGGTGTAGTGTAACTCACTGGGCAGTGCGTAGGTGTATCCCTCTGAACCTTTCCCCACCTCATCACACACAGCAGCAGGCCACAGTCACATGGTAGCCAACACCAGGGATTGAAGCAGGGACATCCAGAGCTCAGAGGCTACAGGTTGAACTAACGAACCAGGCTCTGGGCTGTAAGAGATTCAGGACCAGATCCTCAAAAGGTATTGAGCTAGGAGTTAGGCATCTAAATACCTTTGTGGATCTGGGCCTCCCATCCTCTGGAGGGATACACTCATCAGTGGATTAGACCAGGTCACCAGAAAGAAGCCTGTTTCATTCAAAAAACCCTACTTGTCAGTAGCACCTGGGTCTATTTGGGCTCAAAGCTGCAGAAAAGGGGTTGACTTCTAGCCAGCCCAACAATTATTTTAAAAACTCTAAACCAAAAGAAATAAATATGGCTGCACCGTCCCCCCTGCAAAAGCCAGCAGCCCACTGACACAACAATTTGCACAGAGGGCTAGCTCCCAGCCAGCCACGGCAGAGCCAGCCGGCCTGTCCCAGAGACAGGTGCAGCGCCCGTCTGTACCACATTAAGAACTAGCAGCCAGCACAAACCTGCCTGCAGGAGGCTGATCAGTCTTTGATTAGGGTCGGACTGCAGAGGCCTCATCTGGTTCTGGGGTATTGAGGCCTGGGGCTCTGGACTGGGCCCAGCTCTCTGTTGGTGGCACATTATTCTGGGCATATGGGGAGGCAAGGGTTAAGATCCCCATTTACCATGCAGCCATCATTAGCTCCACATTAGCCAGTCATTGTTGCACCAACAGTGGTAGGCGTTGAGTACCTTTCCCTTTGGCCACGTTCCAGCCCCACGGAGGAAGCTGCTGAGAAAATGCAATTATAGCAAACAACAGCCAAGCGCGAGAGTGCCGCAATCCACACCTGGCACTAATTAACTTAATTAGCCCTTAATGAGCTACACTGGTCAGAAGGCCTATTTTTACTTAATTATCCTCTAATATGCTTGGCAGAAGCGGGGGCCCTGATGGATGGAGTGGCTGTGGCTGGCTTCCTCCTGCCCGTCAGGAGGCTCTGTCATCTCCGCATCCTTAACGAGCGAGTCTGGTTGCAAGGGGAGAGCGGGGGAGGACTGATCTGGGCCATGCAAGAGCCTCAGATCCCTGTCACCGCCAGGAGTGGGTCAGGGTCAGCTGGCTCAGAGATTCGCCCAGTGCCAGGCTGATCCAAATCTCCCCCTCCCATTCTCTGTCCTCCACCCAAGTGGGAGTGAGAAGCAGTTAACAGCAGTGCCGGGGCTGGGACTGGAGAGTGCTGCAAAGTGACAAAGATGGGAAAGCCAGTGCAGCAGGAGGAAACCAGCCCAGTTACTTGGAGATATGAACCCCCAGAGAGAGTGAAAGCAGCTCCAACCTACACACAATGCACAAGAGGCCTCTTCCCATGGTTGGCAAAAGGCATCTGGACACTCAGCTCTCAGGATCTGGGATTTTAAGTGGTTACAGGTGTGACGCTGGCAGAGCAGGTGCTAGCTCATGCCGGGCCTCACTGAACACTGACAAATGCAGAGCTGGAAACCAGTCTGGTTCACCCATGGGTTAGTATAGTTAAAACAGGTACTAGTGTTATCAGAATGTGTTTTGTGTTTAGACTTTATGGAATGCTTGTAGGATGCTGCATGTATTAATCCTCCTTGTAACATCTGTAGCCCATATTATAAAGTAACATTTAAATGTCATCTCTGTAGCTCTAACAATGTTTGCTAAGACTTTAAATCCCCCACATCCAGGGGAGAAGCATTACCAACTGACAGGTTTCAGAGTAGCAGCCGTGTTAGTCTGTATCTGCAAAAAGAACAGGAGTACTTGTGGCACCCTAGAGACTAACAAATGTGTTAGAGCATAAGCTTTTGTAGGCTACAGCCCACTTCATCGGTTGCCTAGAATGGAACATATAGTAAGAAGGTGGAAGTTGCCATACAAACTGTAAGAGGCTAATTAATTGAGATGAGCTATTATCAACAGAAGAAAAAAACTTTTGTAGTGATAATCAAGATGGCCCATTTAGACAGTTGACAAGAAGGTGTGAGGATACTTAACATGGGGAAATAGATTCAATTTGTGTAATGACCCAGCCACTCCCAGTCTCTATTCAAACCCAAGTTAATGGTGTCTAGTTTGCATATTAAGTCAAGCTCAGCAGTTTCTCGTTGGAGTCTGTTTTTGAAGCTTTTCTGTTGCAGAATTGCCACCCTTAAGTCTTATTACTGAGTGGCCAGAGAGGCCGAAGTGTTCTCGTACCGGTTTTTGAATGTTATGATTCCTGATGTCAGATTTATGTCCATTTATTCTTTTGCGTAGAGACTGTCCAGTTTGGCCAATGTACGCAAAAGAATAAATGGACACAAATGTGCCTGCCCCGCCCCCATTCCAACTCCTTCCCCAAAGTCCCTGCCCCAACTCCACCCCTCCCTGCCCCTATTCCAACCCCTTCCCCCAATCCCCGCCCTGGCCCCACCTCTTCCCCACCTCCTATCCTGAGCAAGCCGTGTTCCCGCTCCTCCCCCCCCAGAGTTTGTTACGCTGTGAAACAGCTGTTTTGTGGCAGCAAGTGCTGGGAGGTAGGTGGAGAAGTGGTGTGCTCAGGGGAGGAGGCGGAGGCGAGGTGGGGTGGGGGGGAGCTTGGCTGCCGGTGGGTGCAGAGCACCCACCAATTTTTCCCCATGGGTGCTCCAGCCCTGGAGCACCCAGGGAGTCAGTGCCTATGGTGGGAGGTGCTAGGAGCAGGTTGGGGAGCTGATGGGAAGGCTGCTGACGTATTACTGTGGCTCTTTGGCAATGTACATTGGTAAATTCTGGCTATTTCTTAGGTCTGGTCTACACTATGGGGTTAGGTTGAATTTAGCTGCATTAGGTCGATTTAAAAATGACTGCGTCCACACAACCAACCCCGTTCTGTCAACCTAAAGGGCTCTTAAAATCAACTTCTGTTCTCTTCCCCGATGAGGGGATTAGCGCTAAAATAGACCTTGCTGGGTTGAATTTGGGGTAGTGCAGATACAAATCGACAGTATTGGCCTCTGGGAGATATCCCAGAGTGCTCCATTATGACCGCTCTGGACAGCACTTTAACTCCGATGCACTAGCCAGATACACAGGAAAAGCCCCAGGAACTTTTGAATTTCATTTCCTGTTTGGTCAGTGAGGCGAACTCAGCAGCACTGGTGACCAGGCAGTCCCCCCAGAATCATAGAGCATAGAATGTTTCTACACTCCCCCTATCATCTCCATCCCTGAGGTTACCACAGATTAGAAGGCAAAAAAAAACCGCACTCGCAATGACATGTTTTCCGAGCTCATGCAGTCCTCCCGCACTGATAGGGCACAGCTTAATGCATGGAGGCATGCAGTGGCAGAGGCCAGGAAAGAATTCAGTGAGCACGAAAAGTAGAGGCAGGATGCGATGCTGAGGCTAATGGGGGAGCAAACGGACATAATGAAGCATCTGTTGGGGGAGCAAACAGACATGATGAAGCGTCTGTTGGAGCTGCAGGAAAGCCAACAAGACACAGACCCCCCACTGCATCCACTGTATAAAAGCCTACCTTCCTCCCCATGTTCCATAGCCTCCTCACTCAGAAGCCCAAGAACGCGGAGGGTGGGGAGGCTCCGGGCACCCTGCCACTCCATTCCAGAAGGCTGTCATTCAAACAGTTTGATTTTTAGTGTGGCTACAATAAGCAATGTGGCCTTGTCCTTCCCTCTTCCCCCACCCCATCTGGGCTACATTGTCCGTTCTCTCTCTCTTTTTTAAAACAAATAAATAAAGAATTAATGGTTTCAAAACAATAGTTACTGTATTTCGAAGGGGGGAAGGCAGTTGGCTTACAGGGAATTAAAATCAACAAAGGGGGCAGGTTTGCATCAAGGAGAAACACATACAACTGTCACACCGAAGCCTGGCCAGTCATGAAACTAGTTTTCAAAGCCTCTCTGATGTGCAGCGTGCCTTGCTGTGCTCTTCTAATCACCCTGGTGTCTGGCTGCTCAAAATCAGACGCCAGGCAATTTGCCTCAACCTCCCACCCCACCATAAACATCTCCCCCTTACTCTCACAGATATTATGGAGCACACAGCAAGCAGCAATAACAATGGGAATGTTGGTTGCACTGAGGTCTGACCTAGTCAGCAAACAGCGCCAGTGAGCTTTTAAATGTCCAAAGTCACATTTTACCACCGTTCTGCACTTGCTCAGCCTATAGTTGATTTTGGAATTGGGGAGCTCATGTGGGGGAAGATCAAGGGCTTCTCCTGGTGGCCTGCAATCATCGTCTCCTACAGAGTCACGTCCAAATGCCAGGCAGTCTCTGGAATGCTCTGGGTGCAATGGTTTGGGGACGGGAAGTTCTCCGAGGTTTCAGCAGACAAGCTGGTGGGTCTGATGGCTTTTAGGCAGCATTTCAACCACTCCACATTTAATAAGCTGGTCTCCTGTAGATTAGCCATACACCATGTCCTGGAGGTTGCTAGGAGCTGGGCAGGGAAGACATTCCCAGAACCCCCGGCCAAGCAGCTAAAGACTAACTTCTGCAACAACAACAAGAAGCGGGTGGAGGAGGACCAGAACAGAGAGCAAATGGTTTCCGAAGTCACAAACAACAACAGGAGCCTTGAAGACAGTTGTTTATCGTGCAGGAGAAAAAACCCAGCCATATTCCACCCGCTGTTTGAGGGGGGCCTTTGTCCGACTTGCAGGGATCGATTCCTGGAGCTCTTCTACCTGTATGACAAGGAAGGGTATCAGTCCTACTGCGCAGTGTGCTGCGAAGGCAAGGAGCTGCTGCTGTGTAGCAATGCCAGCTGCTGCAGGTGCTTCTGTGTCGAATGCTTGGAGGTCCTGGTAGGGCAAGGTACCTCAGCCAAGGCAAAAGAGCAAGAGCACTGGAGCTGTTACACGTGTCAACCACAGAAGTGCTATGGGGTGTTACAGCGCCAACCAGACTGGAATGTACGGCTGCAAGACTTCTTCACCAGGGTCATAAATATAAAGGGAAGGGTAAACACCTTTAAAATCCCTCCTGGCCAGGGAAAAACCCTTTCACCTGTAAAGGGTTAAGAAGCTAGGATAACCTCGCTGGCACCTGACCACAATGACCAATGAGGAGACAAGATACTTTCAAAGCTGGGGGGTGGGGGAGAAACAAAGGGTCTGGGTCTGTCTGTGTGATGCTTTTGCTGGGGACAGAACAGGAATGGAGTCTTAGAACTTAGTAAGTAATCTAGCTAAATATGCGTTAGATTATGATTTCTTTAAATGGCTGAGAAAATAAGCAGTGCTGAATGGAATGTAGATTCCTGTTTTTGTGTCTTTCTGTAACTTAAGGTTTTGCCTAGAGGGATTCTCTATGTTTTGAATCTAATTACCCTGTAAGGTATTTACCATCCTGATTTTACAGAGGTGATTCTTTTTACTTTTTTCTTCTATTAAAATTCTTTTAAGAAACTGAATGCTTTTTTTCATTATTCTTAAGATCCAAGGGTTTGGGTCTGTGGTCACCTATGCAAATTGGTGCGGATTTTTATCAAACCTTCCCTGGAAAAAAGGGGGTAAGATTTGGGAGGATTTTGGGGGGAAAGACATTTCCAAACAAACTCTTTCCCAATAATAAATACCGGTTAGACATTTGGTGGTGGCAGCGAAAGTCCAAGGGCAAAAGGTAAAATGGTTTGTACCTTGGGGAAGTTTTAACCTAAGCTGGTAAAAGTAAGCTTAGGAGGTTTTCATGCAGGTCCCCACATCTGTACCCTAGAGTTCAGAGTGGGGAAGGAACCTTGACAACCAGTGACAAAGGACAGAAATATGATGCACCTAAAATTTAAAAAGGCCTGCACATTTCCCAGAGTCACAACCCATGATAACAGAACATCAATGATTGCATTGGCTACTTGGATCACAGCAGCCCTCACAGTAGACTTGCCCACAACAGCAGCAGTGACAGTGAGCTGAGCAGGCTCCATGCTTGCCATGGTATGGCGTCTGCATGGGTAACCCAGGAAAAAAGGCACGAAATTATTGTCTGCCTTTGCTTTCACAGAGGGAGGGGCGACTGACGACATGTACCCAAAACCACCCGCGACAATGTTTTCCCCCCATCAGGCATTGGGAGCTTAACCCAGAATTCCAATGGGCAGCGGAGACTGCGGGAACTATGGGATAGCTACCCACAGTGCACCGCTCCGTAAGTCGATGCTAGCCACGGTAGTGAAGACGCACTCGGCCAACTTAATGCGTTTAGTGGGGACATACACAATCAATTGTATAAAATCGATTTCTAAAAATCGACTTCTATAAAATTGACCTAATTTCGTAGTGTAGACATACCCTTAGGCTCAGGTTGGCCACCCCTGGACTATGGAATCCAAATGGGCCATTGTGGAACAAAGACTTAATTGATTGCTTCCCCCACAGCCCTGAAGAGGGGATGGGCCCAAGCAGTCGTCCCATCGTAGCTTGAACACTGGGGGAAGGGAATAAAATTGCCTGTGAAGGAGAATTTATTATTGCCATGTTGCTTTGACTCGAGCGGGGTGGGGGGAGGATTTCTAAGCCTAAGCAAGGAGTCTCCAACTGTTTAGCTTGGGTTAGCCCTAAAAGACATATAAGTTGGCTTATTATAGAAGTTTCTATTATCATTTGGAATTTAAGACTCACTCATTTCTGTGTGTTACCTGCTTTAATCAAGTAAAAAACTCTCATTTCTTCTTCCTGGTTAATAAACCTTTAGTTAGTTTGTTACAGGGTTGGGTGCAGTCTTTGGTGAGAGATTTAGGTGCAATTGACCTGGGGTAAGTGACCGGTCCTTTGGGACTGGGAGTAACCTGAATATTGTTGTGATTTTTCATGTACTGTAAGGGACCATCTAACACAGAGTCAAGCTTGCCTGGGTGGCAAGACAGATTGGAATGCCTGCCTGGATTGCCTGAATTCCCCTTTTTGTGGGTAGCACTGCTCACATCCATCTCCCTTCTTTTGTGGTGAGGTAGAGGAATTCTGCTTGAGTCTCTTCCCTATCTCCACTCACCCCTTGTGGGCGACACTCCATTTGGATGGAAGCACCCAACCAACTTCCCTCCATTCAATGGGATTGTTTGAGTCCCCCTTCCCCATAAGGGTGGTGCTGTCCTAATCACCCCATGACACATTCAAATGACACTGCTTGAGTCAAAATGCTAAGCCACACACCCTAACATTTCATCTCTGCTAGAAGGGCCAGTGTTAGCATTTGCTATGGTGCCCATCACCACAGTATCTAAGAGCTGACCTGCACAATGAGGTCCCTAATGAATGTCACAGAGTTTTCTGCTCTTCTCCCTGCCCTGCGGCAGGTGTCCCAGTTTGCTACTGGTAATTATTATTATTTATTATTTGAAAATCTCATTCTGATTAGGCTGTGAAAACTTCTTTCCAGCATGGGAGTCTGGCAGCGTGGCCCAATGAGGATCCACCCCCGGATTCATCTCCTCTCCTCTGGAAGCTTGTTCTACAGTTGAATCCCCTCCACTGGGGATACTTTGTCTCCAACTCTCACTTGCTGCTGCCTGGGCACTGTAAGCTGCATTGTACCATGTAAGTGCAGATGTCCTGGTGGGTGATAGATGGAGCTGGGACCTGACCGTTAATGGCTTTGAAGAGCAAGACCATGCAATGAAATGAGACTGGGATCCAGGGTAATGACTAGAGCACAGTGGTGATGTGCTTGCCGCGCCCGCCCCTTTAAGGTGCTAGATGGCCATATTCTGCACAAGCTGAAGCTGTCCACTGGTTCCATGTTCAGCCCCAGGTACCAGAGTATAGTCTGGAGGGGCCAAATGAATGGACTACTCGCTGTAGCCAGAGCCTCCTCTGAGAGCCTCCTCTGAAGCTTCCTTAGCAAGCAGCAGGCAGTCATTTGCCATTGATTGTACATGACCATCTAGGCTCAGCGATGAATCGAGCAAGACTCATGGCTCCTCCTAGCGTTTAAGAGTGAGATGCAGATGTGGGCTTGGTTGGAAGGAGCCAACAGTATTGTGCTCCTTCTTCAAAGCATTTCCCCCTTTCAGCCAGCTTCCCCTTGATCAGTTGCAGCCAGCTGCATCTCATTCCGGTGCTGGTCTTTTGCAAGCCCTGCAACATCTTTGTGATGGAAAATGAGGGCTCGTCTAGACAGAGTTGGTGCATGGTGAGCTGGGGCGTAAATCTACAATGCACTAACCTGCCGCACACTCCCTGGTTGTGTGGACCCTGCTATAGCTCACTAAAGGTTCCTCAGTGTGCTTTGATCGCCTTCTATTATGTCAACCTGCCCTAGAGAACTTTTAGTGTGCGGCAGACAGGCCCACATGGCCAGTTATAGATTTACGCCCCAGCTCATCACACGCTAACTGTCCGTCTAGACAAACCCTCGGAGCTTGAGACGGGCAGCTGAGTGCCATCAGCATACTGTGGGCAGCAGAACCTGTGCCATCTCAGGCTCTTGCTGAGGAAACGTTGAAGAGATGGGGAGTCAGGATGGCACCCTGAGGGACCCCCAGGGAGGGCTCATGAGGATGAGGAGGAGCTGCCCAGCCATGGCTATCTTCTGGATCTTGTTGAAGAGACATGACTGGGACCTGTTTAGTGTTGCACTGTCTCCAGGCAGGCCACAGAGGTGGCTCTGCAGCTTCTTGTGGTCGGCTGTGTTGAAATCTGCAGAGAGATCAAGTCATACTATCCTAGAGACATAGCCTATAGGGCTTGCTATGGGGAGGTCACCTCTTCATGGTTCCAGGCCTGTCCCCATGCTTTACCCTGACCTGAAGCCCAACTGCAAAATGCAAATGTCAACTTTTGATGGTGCTTGGCTATCACTCCCTCCTCAGTGATTTTGCCTAGGAATGGGAAGTTGGAGAATGAGTGGAGTTTGACAAAGACTCCGTCATTGAGAGTCGCAACCTTGAACTTTGGGGAGACCACAGCAGTTTTCAAGGAGGTCAGTGGGTATGCTGCTGGCTAGTGATAATTCCCATTCTCCACTGGCTCTTACCAGGGAAGAGGGGGGAATCCATTCTGCAGGAGGTAGCCTAATATTTCTCAGGGCTTCTGGAGCATCCATGTGCATGATGGTGCCAGACTCCATTGGGGGTGATGGAGGCAGGCGATTACCAAGATCTGGTCCAGGTGAGAGTTTCCTGCCTGTGGGAGAATCGCTTCTATTTGGTCCATCATTGCAGCCAAGGACGATGTGCTCTTGTGCTTGGAGCTGATGTTTGGATTGTGCAATCTGGGTGAATTAGCCAATTCATTCTGTGGAATAGTTCCGGTGCTGGGATTTTGCTGTGGCTGTGGCAGAAGAACAGAACGGTCTTTTGATTCCCTTGCTGTGATGCTCTATACTTGTGAGATGTCTTAGTGCTGCTAGTGGATGGAATCAGATCAGGGATTTGGACCATCTGCCTTCTTATCTTTTCCCTTTGTGCTTCATCTGCTGGAGTTTGTCAGTGAACTGTGCTAATCTCCTTGGTCAGTACCTGGGGGTCAGGGTCTGGATAGTAGAAGCCATCAGGTGACTGTGCTGTTCTACCAACTCATTAGCCTCCTGGGTTTTGCATTTGGGTTCTTTGCTTTTGAGCTGTGTTGGTTGATTGGTTGTGGTTTTAATAGGCAGCAGGTTTGAAAAAAACAAAAGGAAGTATTTCTTCACACAATGCACAGTCAACTTGTGGAACTCCTTGGAGAGGATGTTGTGAAGGCCAACACTATAACAAGGTTAAAAAAAGAACTAGATACGTTCATGAAGGATTGGTCCATCAATGGCTATTAGCCAGGATGGGCACGGATGGTGTCCCTAGCCTCTGTTTGCCAGAAGCTGGGAATGGGCGACAGGGGATGGATCACTTGATGATTACCTGTTCTGTTCATTCCCTCTGGGGAACCTGGCCTTGGCCACTGTCGGAAGACAGGATACTGGGCTAGATGGACCTTTGGTCCTTAGTTCTTATGTTGGTAACATGGTATTGTTACTGTTCAGTAAGTGGATGACTGGAGCAAAATCTCCTGGAAACTGTGAAGTTCACGTTCCCTGAGTATTTGAGGTTAAAATTCCCTTTCCGTGAACACGAGTGCCCGGAAAAGTCAGTCACACCAATGTCTGCAGTGAGTGAACCCACATGGTGTAGGGGGAGAATTTCTGTATTTCTGTTCTGGTCGTTAAAACCCACATGCCATCTTGCATTCCTGACAACAACAACTAGGAATCCATCTTGGCTGCTTTTCTTTCTCCTCCTTAGGTATAGCTTCCCACCCTTTTTGCCAAAAGGCAGGAAACCGGGTAACCATGGGATGTGATCTGCCCAGTAATAGCAGGGCATATAAGGGCTAGCATGTCTGAGGGAGGGTGCTGCCCACTGAGTGGCAGAGTGCTGGATCACAGCAGTTTGTTCTACTCAGGTGCGTATGCCAGAGCACCACGCCGTAGGGTTGTGGGAGGGTTTAACACACTTGCATGCAAGGGTGAGCTGCTACCTGCCACCCTCTCATCCGGATTTTACTTGCACCCATGACGCCGCGGGGAAGAAGGAAGGAGAATCACCAGCATTAAGCAGAGTTACCACCCACCTGTTGCTTGAGGTCCACTTCTCACCTTGCTGAGTCACCTGGTCAGCTCTGGACCCAATCTGTGTCATCAGCTTCAGGAGGCTCCAGACACAAGCTACAAGAAATGGTCGAGACCTTTTAAGTCCTCCGTCCTCCTTAACTGGGACCCGTCATGGGGAGGGAGTAAACGCTTTTTGGTCATAGTCAGTAGAGTTATCGGGCCGCCTTTTCCTACGTACCTTGCTTACCTGTGTTGGGAGTCCTTTGCAGCACACCCTGCTTACTTGCCTTGTTTTTAATAAACATACCTGAGCTTTACTCCTGCACTCCCTTGTTGGTTTTTATTTTGGGTAATCTTAAACCTTGATGATAGATGCGGGTACGGAGATCAATCTTTCAACTGGTTTCCGGCCATCCTAAAACCAGTCAACAAAGGGGTGAACATGGCTAAACCAAACTCGGCTTGAAATGGGGACTCTCTCAAGTAAATACTCTCCGGCTCTCTCTGGACATTATATCATAAAGCCACACCTTTTTCAGCCATGTGCCAAAGCGGCCAGTATCAAACAAGACTTTATTCAGCCATCATGGTGCTAGAAAAGTCCCATAGATCTCATCTACACTTCAGCCACCTCCTCCTTTCAGGTTGACACCCCAAAGCTGTAAAAATCACATGCCTTTTGGTTCACAATGTGGTGTGCAGACCGAACCTGGCAGAACGGGTAGAGATGGACTGGCAGGAAGCCACCCCTGCCGTGATCACTTGGAGATGAAGAACACAAACCTCCAGGGGTTCATCTGACCCACCTCCCTGCAGGGACCCCTCCCAGCCACTTCCATTTCCTCCACAAAGCTTGGAGCCCTGTGTTCAGCATGAGGGGCATGTCACTGTTCACCAACTCTGGGGTCTTCAAGTGAGCTAGAAAGTCATCCACCTAAGTCAATAGTTGGGCGATAGGAGAGGACCGTACCTTTCCCCTTGCAATGGCTCTGCACTAAGCCACAGGGCCGGGTAGCACCCCTAAGGTATAGCTCAGGAAATATGCTTCCTAGCAGCAGCGTGCTAGGAATTCTGAGGCATCACTTCCCTAAGCAATAAAATGACCTCAGCCCAGTGAGCAATGAGCACTGACGTTGCTAAAAGCAGAGTTCAAACGGTGAGGCCAATTTGAGTCTATCCAACACTCCAGCGAACTTCTGTCCAACATGGGGACACATTCAAAAACTGCTTGCAGCTCCAAAAGCTTGTGGGAGCAGCACGTAAGCATTCAGACACGGTTAAGTCTGCAGCATCCAGAGAGCGAGGCTCTGGGAGAAAGATGGTTGTTTTGCTTTCCTCTCCTATTTCCACTCTCTCCCAGTCAATACTAATTAGCCTGATCCCATTTGTTCTCTGAAGCCATTCTGAGCTGCCTCGAAATGATAAATACAAAAATGCTCCAACCAAGCATCTCAAAGAGCAGCCAGACTAAGTGAGATTTCTAAAGTTGGTACCAACATAATTGGTTCCCAACCTCCTGGTTCGCTTGTCTGCAACAAGATCAAGCTGGCTCCAGGAGAGAAGTGAGATTCCCTTTGCTGCACAACACTGTGCCAGCCTCTGTGCTGAAGGGGCGCTTTTGACAATGCCATTAGGAATGTGAAGGGGGGGGGTGCAGTAAGTGATGACAATCTTTCTGGAAAAGGATGAACTGCGACTTCAGTTAACAACTTGGCTCTCTCCCTGCAGGAGACTGTAGCCGGGGCACTTGACAAAGACCCAGCAGACTTGGGTTCTGTTCCTGGCTCTGCCACTGACTGGCAGTGTGATCCTGGGCCCTTCTTTTTCCTTTCCTCCCCTTTGTCTATTTCAACCATAAGCTGTTTGAAGCAGGGACGGTCTCTCATTAGGTGTCTGTATGGGGCCCTGATCCTCGCCTCTGGGCACTACTGTAATATAAATGATAATCTGAAACCTAGCTGCAAATCAGAGCCCTAACATCTAGCCAGCTGATCAGTGCCCAGACCCTTTCTGTAAGCAGAGCTTCCCCCCTGCACTACCATCCAGTAGCGAGTGTGGTTAGATGTTTGGCTGTGTGTATGTGGTCATCTGTGTGTCACCCCAGCCCTGCTCAGTCAGCTGGCATGGCAGACCTTGAGCGAACCACCCAATGATCACAAGATCCATTAAGGAACGAAGGCATCCAGCCAAGTTTATTGTTGACGAAGCATGGTACTAGTATCCCACAGACTCTACCGGCCCACTAATACATGTGTGCCTGTAACTGTGGATGCAGCTCAGTCAGCGGCGGGACTTTCCACTGCTTTCTAGGCTGGCCAAAGATACTTCCTCTGAGATACATTTTTATATCCTGATACAAACAAGTTAGTACTGCCCCTTTAACATAGTTACTGCTCCCTGACGTCGCTAGTTATTACCCACCATTTTGTACATGTTGATTCGATCAAAACATCTCTATTACGTACTGTCATCCTGACCTTACCTTTTAGAAGTGGCCAGTGTGTTCCTGTTATCCTTGTAGACTGTTTTTGTATCATCCTTGATATTGGGATATTCTGAAGTGTTTGCGTGGGTACTCTGTGACTAGCACTTCTTAGGAATGTGTATTTCTGCAATATCAGCCCTGTTCTTGCCAAATTCTGTGAACAGGTCCTGCCTCACACCTGGCCTCTGATAGAAGGACTTAGGTCTCAGGCTCTCTTCCTGCTACAGCAAGTAGCCTCCAGTGTCTCCCACAATCCCCCTCCCCACCCTCCTGTGGTACAATGTTCTCTGGACTCAGGCGGGCCGAACATCCCCCTCCGTTACCTCTGCTTTGTATCTCTGTGACACCACTGAAGTTAAATTAGTGTAAAGCCGGCAGACTCAGACCCATGTTCCCTAGTTCAGAGCACTGGAATCTCCATCAGAGACTCTGGCCTTTGTCTCATCTGCAGGTTTCACCTTCCCCTGGAAGTGTTTACCCAGGTGTGGTCTGCACCAATCACCCACCCCTCACGTTACAACACCAATGTCGGCTGTTGCGTTTGAGGAGGACAGCCAGAGTCACCCTCACCCTGGCTTGCAAAGCACTGGAGCCGCCAGCAAATGAAGGGTTAAAGCCAGCAGGGAGGAGGATCAGTGGTACCTTAATTCATCTTTCATCAGCAGCTTGTCATTGGCATTGTGTGTTGAGGCAAGTCCATTGCTCTGTGGGTAAGACGCCTGGAGCTCTGGGGGTCAACCTTCAGGGGATAATTAGCCAAGGCAGGAGGGAGCTGGGGGAGGTGTTGATTATTATGCTATTGCCTACTTCTCTCCCTGCCCCCTCCTCCCAATTACTTGAGAAAACAACCTGGAGTTAATTTATGACAAACTTATAGCCTGAAGCTGCTGAAAGGACTCTGGCTGTGAGATTCCACCAGCCCAGACTTTCCGAGCCCCCTTGTCCTGGCCCACCTCTCACACAGTGCCAGCTGAATAAGGAGTGGGGTGTTGGGAGAACTCTTGTTCACAGAAGGCCAGAGGAAAAACCTGGTGGAGCGCTGTGGACCCAACCACAAACAGGAGCAGAGCACCGGGGCTCTAGAAGTAGGAAGAGAGAGAGAGAGAGAGAGAGAGAGAGAGGGAGTGGGAGAGAGAAGCAGTAAAGAGATGGAGGTAAAGGAAGGAGATTCTCCCCTAGGCAAGGCTGCCTCCTTGTCTTAGGCTGTCAAGAGCCAGCTGTGAGGAGCCCCTCCACTGCCATGAACTCCTGTGATGGTTCCCAGGGGCTTTGAGTTTTCATACTTGGAAGCATGGAATGATGAAAGGAGACTTACCGTGGGCCAGAGCCCCCACTGGTGGAAATCTGCACAGCTCAATTTGGAGTCAATAGAGTTCTGCTCGCTGAAACTAGCTGAGGAACTGGCCCAGTAATGTGCTGTCTGGTACATTTGGAACATGCACCAAGGAGTCTGGATGGAGGACTCAGGGGATGGAGATGGGGAGTCTTTCCCCTCTAGCTCAATTTTAAGAGAAAGTCATTGCCATTTACCCTTTCCCACAATACAAAAACCAGGGGTCACCCGATGAAATTAATAGCCAGAAGGTTGAATACAAACAAGAGAAAGTGCTTCTTCACATAGTGCACAATTAACCCGCGGAACTCATTGCCAGGGGATGTTGTGAAGGCCAAAAGTATAACTGGGTTCAAAAAGGAATTAGAGGATAGATCTATCATCCAATATGGTCAGGGATGCAACCCCGCGCTTGGGGAGACCTGAAACCTCTGGCAGACATAATAGGGAGTCCAGTGATTAAATGGGCCATGGGCCTGCTCATTGCTAGAGGTGGTATATCCATCCAGGATTGGGCAGATCTGTGGGGAAGTGTGAGTGAGACATGTGGTGAGGATAATACGCCAAGGTGTATCCCCACTTATGCATCCACTAACATTTTATTTGCTTTTTAATCTATTTTTATTAGGAGGAGCCACACACATTTTAAAATCAAGAAAGAAATTAACCAGCTTAATGCATTCCTTGTTAGGGCTCTACTTCCACTGGCTAGAACAAACCAATCCCCCAGGCTCCAAATGCTTACTGGGTTTGTGAAGATAAGCAAAAGAGGTTGGGGTTAGCTAACATGTGCCAGCTAGCCCTAACCTAGCCAGGACCTTTTCCCTCATGTAAACACAAGTTAATACCTTCTACCTCGATTTAGCTGGTCACACTTGACCCCAAGCCACTTGTTTTGATGTCTAAATGAGCACTTTTGAAGATCTGACCCGTGTCAGGATATAGGCGCTGGTTGAGCTCTTAAGCATATGCATAAATGTGAGCACACAAGCAGTCTCAGTCACTCCAATGGGACAATTCAGAGAATGCAAGTGCATAAGTATATTGCTGAATCAGGGTCATAAATGTAGAGTTCCTCAGATACAGCCTAAGTATGCTGTAAACACATATGCGTATTTAAATTCCATGCCCTGAAAAGCTGGATTTGGTCAGAGTTAAAATGACTCTGTTCTAAATTTCTTACCTGCGCTTAAAGAGGAACGTATAGACTGAAATTTGTACGGAAGAGGAAGTGGTCCCAAATGTCTGAGAAAGGCGTTTGCTGCATTTTTAGAAAGAAAGAAAGAACAAAGGGACATTGAGCGAAACTGAAAGGAGGCAAATTCAAAACTGCTGAAAGGAAACCCACCTTCGCCCAGTGCACCACTCAGCTCACAGAGAGATGGCAGGAGAGACTGGCAGGTGAGATGAACTGCTGTTATGGGTTTGGCGCAGCGGTGGATTGGGATAGGACTGAACAGCCTGGCTGGTCTAGGTCCCACACTCCAAACCACTCCTGGGAATACACGGTCACCTTATGGGTTCTACCTACTGTATCACTCTGGGTCACGTTTAACTTTCATCTCCCCCTGCTATGGAGCCATATGGGAGCAGGCAGAGGTGCATGGTTGTGAATCCTGTAAGAGTAGGGAGTAAACTTCCCTGCTCTGTTCATTCCCCCTGAAGCTCTGGTATGGGCCATTGTCAGAGACAGGATGCTGGGCAAGATGGCCCACGGTCTAACCCAGTATGGCAGCTCTTATGATCTTATGTCAAGCATAGATGGGACTCTGTTCTCAGGTCCCACTTCATATCCATCTCATGCCAAGTCTCTGCACACCTACTCTCCACTGTCTTCTCACGGATCACCTTCATTGTTTCCCTGCTGACCCCCTTACATATCCCAGCATCCCCGAGGCATCCTCCAACCACTGCTGCTGTGTCCTGATGCCACTTTCTGTCCGCTTTCCATCTTCCTTACAGGGGATTGATTCTCTGACCCTCCCGCATCCCTACATATGACTCACTGTACCGGCCATTGCGGATTATTAATCTGCAGCCATGGCTAGAGGACCAACTCTATCAGAAACCTCAGAAGCTTTGAGCCATGCTGCTAAAAAGCCAGGGTGCATCTGGCAGGAGCAAATTTTCCAAAGGGGAGGGTGAGGGAAAGAAGAAAAAAAAAACACCTTCCAGAGAGCTTGCTGAGAGAGAAAGCCCTACAAGAGGAACATTCTTCAAAGGGGATTTTACAGGCAGTTTTTGTGGCTGGGGGGAAAAGAATGCAGCCTTTCGCATCTTGAAAGCGGAAAACTGTCCAGAGACCTTCACAGTTCTGTGTTCTGTTGATAAATATCCCGGAGCGAGTGTTGCATCTGTGCTAAGCAAATACCAGGAGCTTATTAGCAGAATGAATGCTATTCTATTGCCTTTTTCCAGTGCCAAAGTGTTTTGGCTAAACTAAGCTAATAATTTACCAGCATTTGTGTCTCTTTCACACGCCCTAAGATCCTCTGTAACTTTTAAGGATAGATGTGGGGGAAGATGAAATGAGAGGTCATTCAAAGATGACCTGGGAGAATGACAACCTGCTTCCGGAAACTTGCCCAATTCTGTGATCAGTACTCATATGTGGGGATCAGCAGGGAACAGCCAGAGTTTCTGGCACAAACCAAGTGATTTTATCCATATCTAGCTAGCTAGCTATTACCCATCACCATCATCTATCTATGCATCCCCATTATCATTATCCATCATCCATATATCTATCCCCCAATTATCATCATAATCAAATCTGATCCCCATCATCATCATCATCATCTATCCATCTCTCATCATCGTCCATCCATGTACTAGTTCCCACATCATTCAATCTCTCTCAGTGGGGTACTGCAGCAGCGTAGAGGCAAAGAAGTTGCCTGGAATCAAGTTTAATGTGATGCCGTGAGATACAG